ATTACATCATTCAAATTCTTTATTACTTCCAAAGATAATTTAATTTTACATACTGAAAATTAAATATGGGTAAACTAAGAAAGATTTTAGCAAAAATTAATTTTCCAATGACATTAAAGAAGCTTTCTTAATCGGTATGAAAAACGAAACAAGCCTATATAATTGAAACAGAAAAAGTAAGATTTCTTAATTCGTGTGAAAAACAAAACCAACCTACATAAATGGGACGGTGAGAGTGCTATATTTGGTACATAAGAATTAACTGCTAATACGTGATTTTAAACTCCCATTAAAATTCTTAGATACACAAATAGAAATAAATTCATCTATAATAACTCTAGGTTGATGTAGTTCAAGATTCATCAAATCAAGATTCATCGAGTCTAGATTAATGTAAATATTAATTTATTGAGAATTAATAACCATAATTCATATATGACAAGGATTTTGTAGTATTTATTATACATTAAAAAATAAAAAGTAAACTATTATTGAAATAATTAAATTGTAGTAGGGTTAAAATCATCCAAAAATAATTTTCACTTGATCTTTTAATATAGATTTGTACCTGTAAATATCCTGCACTATAATTTCAAATTTTTAGCAACAATATATTTTTGAGCTCAACCACTTCGAATAATCGAAAATAAATGGGCGAAACGGTATCAGTAACTCCTCCGACGGCTTAATAAGTATTTGAGAAAGAGACCAAGAGACCACGATTAAGGAATGGGAGATTGACCGTTGTAGAGTCGAATTTTTATCCTCTCAAAACTGAATGATCTATAGCAAAAGCTCATACCACCCTTCTAGTACAATTTAAAATATGTAGAAAGAGCGATTAAAGCCGTAAGATGTATATTTATAAAGAGAGTTCCATAATTTGATTATAATAGAGAAATAATAAAACAAATCTAACTTGATACTGGAGACTATTAGCAGCAACAAATCTTGACAAAAATATATGATGGAGGACAGCAAGGAATCATTGAAGACAAATTGATCAA